TGTTTTATTTATATCGAAAATCTCAAATAAATAAAATATTATTTTGGTTGACCGGATACTTTTCTGAGGGTAGTGTATATATAAGCTAATTAGAAACTAAAATTAAAATCATATGAAACAATTTATTTTATTTTATTTTATTATTTTATTATAAATTGCATCAGATACATGATGATGAAACTTATATTTTTTAATTGAAAACTCTACTATTTTACTAGTAATACCTTTTCTATAAATATTCATATACCATCATGATTTTTGTGCATATTTTGAAATGTAATTAAAGGAATTGAATATAATCCAACCTATATGTAATTGCAATATTTTTGTGTATTTCTTTTGCTATACTCTAATACATCTTTATATAATTCAATTACAATAATATTTAAGTTAAAATATATGAATGATAAAAGAATTGTTCTTATAAATTCTTCATCACATATTTTTTCAATTTCAGTTTTTATAATTAATTTTGAATAAATTTAACCTGGTATAACTTTATTAATATTGAAGATATTAAAATTCTAATACAAGTTTCTTAAAGCACAGGTCATGGTTTATCTATTTTATGGATTAAATTTTCAATTTATATATAATAAAATTTTTTTGCATTTTAAATTTGTTCTATTTTTACTATAATAAAGTTCCGTTCTGCTAAATTTTTTTGTGAGAAAAATGCTAATTTCACAATTAGCGTCACCCCTAATAAGTATATGTGACCCGGCAAATAAAATCTGGCTATCTTTTTTTCAGGACGGTTAGTATACAAGGAACGCAGTCGCATTACGGCGGTGCACATGTGACGGATAATATGTGACGAATAGATTTTTCACTTCTGAAAAATTCGTTTCAAAATACTTAACAGAAAATATCACAATCCTTTCGGTAATTAATTTTTTTCATCCATTTCCCATTCTTTGTATTTTTGTAATTCTGTAAAATCATTTAAGCATTATTTCTTGGGGTCTTTATTTAATAAAGCATTTCCATTTGTTATATGCTAAAAAATTAGGCCTAATAGAACAAAGGAAATCAGAACCATTGTTGATGATTTTGTATGATCGTAAATTGGATTGAGTTATTTTTGATTATTTTTGCATAGTTTATGAAAATAGATGATTTTAGTAATGAATTCGTTCAACAAGAATGGTTGATTTCCGTGCTTTAGAAATTTGGAATACAGGTTCATAATATACGGATATACTTACTATATGGAAAATAGAGAGATTATTTTTTAAATTTTTTATTTTTTGGTCCATATACAGCAGTAACAAATAAAGTAGCTGAAATCGGCTTCCCCCGTTTCAAAATAAAAAATCTTTTCTTTTTCATTATTTGTTTGATTTTCTTTTGTTGCATATTCGAAACCCTTTGTTTGTTTCATAATTTCATATATAAAATTGAACAACTAAAATAAATTCTTTATTGTCTTAATATGGTAATTAGGTAAATTTTAAAAATAAAAAATTAAACAAATAAATATTCTATATAAATACTGTAAATACACTTCGTTTATCATTAAAAAATAATTTTTAATTTTTACTTTATTGATTTATGAACCTTTCACTTAATAAATCGACGGCTGGTGCGTCAACAACTGGATATGCGTTACCAACATCACCAAGCTTACAAGATGAAGTATTTCGACAACGAATTACGTCTCCTCGAATGAATCACGAAAATTCTACAGGAGAAAAATCAAATACAATAGATATTCCACCGTCTCCTCAATCGCCTAAAAATATTCTTGGATTAAGGAGCAAACTCTCGCAATCTTGGATAGAATATG